CCATCAATTCTCTGAAGAACAGTATTTTCATTGAGGCGACGAGGACATCCTCCCAGTCATCGTCGCCACAATTCATCTCGCATTGGCCATTGCACAGCCGTAAAACGCCGCAAACCTACAGACACGTACTGCGTTGTCTCTCAGGTCTTCGTATCATCCCTGACATCACCGCAAGTGGCAAACCCAGGTTTTTGCATTGATACGGGTGCACCGACCTCTGTCATCGGCCTACCCGAACTGAGGCGTATCTTTGCGAAAAACAAACTGAAGTCCCCGCACCTACGCAAGTCTCTAAAGAAATTTAAATTCGCCGATGCAGTCTTCCAGTCACTCGGGCTAGTCGATTTACCTCTGGCCACGCCCTCAGGTATACCTCCTATCTACATCTCACTGGATGTTGTGACAGCTGACGTTCCCGCACTCATGGGCCTTGACGTCATGGACCAGCAGTCCCTAACGCCGAACACCATGACTAATGAACTGCACAAGTGCATTGTTTTGCAATCGCGAACACAACACGTTTCCGCGCTCACCGACACGCTGTGGAGCGTTCCCCTTCAACGATATGCACAACACATCTACGCCCCAATGTCCCTTGCGACCTCTTGCTATTTTTCTCAAACACAACTCCGAAAGTTGCATCAGCAGTTTTGTCACCCATCCGCTGACAAACTCCACAAACTACTGAAGAAGACAAGACCAGAAGACTTGGACGCCTCCACTTTGGACACTCTCAAAGATCTGACACGCCGTTGCGATCCATGCCAGCGAATACAAGCCGCCCCAACCCGCTTCAAAGTATCGTTCGGTTCTGAGAACGTAAAATTCAACGACAGACTCATAATCGACATCATGTATCTCAACAACCGACCGGTGCTCCATCTTGTTGACGAAGGAACGCACTTCAGTGCCGCCAAATTTGTACCGGACGTGTCAACCAAAACACTTTGGGCCACCATCCTTGAGTGCTGGGCGACTGTGTACACCGGCCTACCGCACAAGATTCTAGTTGATCAGGGATCTGCTTTTGGAGAACTCTTCGCCAGCATCGGAGCGTCGAGCAAGGTCGAAGTTCAGCGCACAGGTATTCGAGCACACTCCAGTCTCGGTATTGGAGAGCGGTACCACCAGCCTCTCCGATCTACATTTCGGAAACTAAGAATTGACCACCCGACTATTTCCGCGTCAACGCTCCTCTCAATGGCTGTGAAAGCAATGAATGACACCCTCGGACCCGAAGGCATCGTCCCATCCGCGCTCGTCTTTGGCGAATATCCATCAACGAAGACTCTGTCAGAAGTGGCAGACCCACGCGCATCTCTTGAAAGTCGTGCTAGAGTTGCCACTACTGCACGTAAGCAGATGGAACAAGAAATGGCTAAGCTACGGGTACAACGCGCTCTCCGGCATCGAGTTCCAAGAGCTACGAACTACGTTTTCGAAGTTGGACAGCACGTGCTACTATGGCGTGAGAAGTTAGTCGAGAACCGCATTGGAGAGTGGATCGGGCCGTTTCCAATTTTGGCTCTTGACCGAGAAAAGAAACAAGTCTTCCTCCAAGACAGCAAAATAGGAGCGGCTCGTCCGTTCAGTCAAGGCATGGTGAAACCTTACCTGAGTCCTGATGACGCATCCCGTGTCCTATTCCAACATCTTGGACACTCTTTGTCTTCTCGATATAGTCACCACACGCTCTTGACAGAAGTCTTGAGAAGAGGAGACCCACGGTGCCTCAGCCCGCAAATGTCTAATGCCAAGCGCTCGGAAATACATCAGCTCATGAGAAGAGGCACATTCAAAGTCATCCTCAAAGAAGAAATTCCTCCCAATGCCAACGTCCTATCCGCGCGTTTCGTGTTATCAATTAAGTCCACAGTTGATGATAAGGTGAAATGGAAAGCACGTTACGTTGCCGGTGGACACAGGGATAAGCTCAAAAAGCTTCTCGTGCACTCGTCGCAATCTGCACAACCCTCTACCGTACGTCTCGTTATAGCATTGGCCGCGATCTACGGCTTCAAGGTTTGGTCCTCCGACGTAACACAAGCGTATCTACAATCTTCAAAGCCCCTCGCTTGCAAAATATACATTCGTAATGCCGCCCCTGAATTTGAGTTGTCAAACAATGAGGCACTGCTTCTCCTACGAGGCCTGTATGGCCTTGGGGAATCAGGAGACATGTGGCATGACACCCTAGATGCACACCACCGACAGGATCTCGGCATGGAGACGCTCCGCACTGACCTCGGATGCTACAGTCGCATTACCCAGGGACATCTTGAAGGACTTTCTGCGAACTATGTGGACGATATGCTACGAACTGGAACCCTCGAGTTCCATAAACTCTGCGCCCTCACTGGGAAGCGATTCGAAATGGCCAAGGATCAGAATATACCTTTTCGGTTTACTGGTTTCCTGATATCGAAAGATCAAGCAAATACACTGCAACTTGACCAAGTAGAATACGCCAGACAGCTTCGACTGCTCCCGGACGACTGTCATTTCTCCGCATTTGCGTCTGTTCGAATGAAGCTAATGTGGCTTTCGCATACTCGACCGGATTGCATATTCAAAATATCGCAACTCACGCAGATTACGAGAGAACATTTTATGGAAGAACGTCAAACAATTGTCAAGAATACAAACCGGGTAATCAAGTACTCTACAGATCAAACTGTGAGGATCAGGTTCCCAAACTTGCAAAAGAACATAATCAAAGTAGTAGGATACTCTGATGCATCTTTTGCCTCTAATCGTGACCACACGTCACAGCTCGGATATATTGTTTTTCTCGCCGATGCGTCCTCGAATGTCGTACCAATCATGTACAAGTCCTACAAGGCTAGACGTGTTACAAGATCGGTACTCGCAGCCGAGCTAATTGCATTTAGCGATTTGTTCGATGCATCGTATACACTGACGAAAGAATTGGAGAAGCTCCTTGGAAGGAAAAAGGTTGCTGTACAGTTGCTCACAGACAGCAAGAGCCTCTTCGACATCATCAGCAAAGGAAGCCGCACATCGGAAAAGAGACTAATGCTCGATATTGCTTGCGCACGAGAAGGATACCGCAAGTTCGAGATTGATGATATTGGCTTCGTGCGGTCTGGAGATAATATTGCAGATGGTCTCACAAAAAGAATGAAACAAAGCAGTTTATTGAAAGTGCTAACTAAATCTACATTAGAGATCAAACCGGAACAATGGATTGTCAGAGAGACCATCTCAGACACCCTCGCCATTGGAATTTCTCAGATGCCCGACTCTGTGTAACTTGCATCACGCACTAATGTGCATTGTGAGCTCGGGTGATCAGCTTTTAATGCCAGAGAGTGCCCCTCCAGGTATAAAACCCTCGTGAACTTATCAGGCGGGACTAGTTAAGGCAAGCTTTCACACCACCTCGACACAGAGCCGTCACCCCGAAGGATGATTTAAAAGCTAACTGGAGCTTAAGCATGAGAATCCAAGTTGGGTCATCAGGCTGTCGAGTGGAAAGAACAAGGCAGGTTGATGAGAAAATATTTGCGCATCGAATTCTGGTCTGCATTTATACTGATATTTTAACGACCGTTCAGGTAATTTTTTTCTCATCTGAAATTTGCAGTGCACTTGAAACCGGTTCCGTCATTGCAGAAGTGAACATGGGTACTCATCTTGACTCCTTTTGAGACTCAAAGCGCTAAGGAGTCGCATTTATCGGACGAGATGCAGCGAAAGGGGGGAGTGTCGATGGAGTGGAGCCGGCCACTCTGTACAGTATCTATACAGTACCTGTACAGTACCGGACACCACTCTATTTTCGCCTTTCGGCTCGTGGCTTTCAGCCACGAGCGCCGCCGTCCGATTATATACCTGCGACTACCACCTCTCTCGATCGAGCGAGGGCAAGAGGGAACTAAGTAAAGACTGACCATCGTCACTTTACTTTTACCTGCGCCGAAGCGTAGAGCCTCGATCCCCCACGCGTCTCTACAATCACCACCGCTTCCGCTACCTGACAACGTCTTCCCTCGTCTCAGCTTGGACTGAGATCGCGCTGTCAGCCCAGACCCTCGTGTGCAGCGACACAAATGAAGTGCATTCCCCTCGTACTCACCATCGCATCCTTGTACTCACACTCGTACTCACCCTCGTATCGCACCCTCAGTCGTAGTCGTACGCTCACTCGAAACCAATCCCGCGACCTTCTCCCTCGCCACTCTGTCTGCACTCCTTCCCTCTCACCTCCACCGTGGACAAAGACAGACTGCCGGCGCTGTCCTCCCTGCTCACGGACAGCACGCGCTCCCACGCGACCGCGAGCAGCGCGATCCCGGAGAGAACATACGCGCCGGCGGCAGCGGTGCTGCGGCGGATGATTGGCTCGACAGCCGCGAGCGACGTTCTCCTGCGGCTGCTGCTGCTGCTGAGCAGCGAATCGCACTGCTCTAGCACTGTCTGCGCTTGTGAACCTGTCGGAGGACGAGGAGCCGGCGGCTCTGACGCACGCGGACGCGGTGCGGCTCGCAGCGCAGGTGGTCCTGGACGCGGACGTCGTCGCGCTGCACGCGGCGCTGCTGTCCAACCTGACGCGCTTCGCGCCGGGCGTGGACGAAGCGGAGGGCGCGGACGGGTCTCGGGAGAGGGGCACGCTACTCGTGCTCGTGGAGAGGGTACCGAGTATTCCGAATGTGCTGCGGCTGTCGAATGCGTGCGCGAGCCAGGAGGGGAGGGACGTCCTGTTGGTCGAGGGAAGGCAGGCGGAGAGACAGCTGTTGACGAGGTTGCTGAGATTGCTGGAGGCGGGGGAGGCAGAGAAGAGGCTGGCGGAGGCGAGCTGGGTGCGGAACTGCGCGATGGCGGACGAGTGCCATGATGTGTTCGTGGGGGTACGGCGGCGGTCGCAATGTGCTTGGGAAGGTCAAAGGAGGTGGGACTGGAGGAGATGGCGGAGATTCGCGCCTGGTTGGTCGAGTAAGTGTTGTTGTTGTGTAAGAGCCGGGCGGGGAAGGACGCGCTCAGGGATGGCGGGGCCGTCGACGTTCTGGAGGGATGGAAGGGGGAAGAGCATGCACGCCGTAGTGAGCATTCTGGATCGGCGGGAGACACTGGTAATCTCGAGGCAAATACCGCATCGATGCACTTTTTGGTGGGAAGCCGTTTCGGTCGACCAATAGAACGTGCACAACTGGATTGTCAAGGGTAATCAAACAGAGACTATCCGAACCAAATTCTTGATATTTGGTTCCGATTTTTAGATCGACACCAAAAATTTGATGATTTGGTTGCACCGGTGGGGATTTCAATCGACATCAAATCATCAAATTTTGGTTGTTTGGGTATTTGATTCTACCGGTGGGGATGCTCTTATGGTCTGACCATAATACTGCTTGCTGCAGTAGCGCCTTCCCCGCTCTCATGAAATAAGTAGTGGTCAGTTGTTCAAGTCCGGTGTTGTCCAAAACACGAAAGTTGAACAGTGATCTAATGCGGTGCTGAATGGCCAGCCGTTGTTGCGCTTGTGCTGCCACGGGGCACGTTTTCGTATCTTCGATGCAAGGGGAACCGCCATACTTACCACACCATGTGCAGCAATCACATACATTTACAAGACGCATTGAGATGAAGATGGCGGAACTAGACGGTATAAACAGACTTAGATTGCCCCCTCCTTAAGCGTGGCATCGAGTGAACCAAGCTTAAGTCAGGTGCTTGGACAGGCTTGTCATTTTCTCCAAGTGTTCCTAGGTGGAGCTCCCCGTTCGACCATTCCGGCTGAAATATTCCGATATCCAGAGGGCGTCGGCTTGCCAACTTACAATCTATGGGCGCTTGGAGGAGCTCGTTCTGTGTGCGCACCAACGAAGTGACGACGTCGATGTCTAGTTCGTTTCTAAGAAAGAGGCAAACCAAAAGGAAAAACATCAAAAGCATGGCGTAGCCGGCGGCAGAGGTAATGAACCACACATTTATCGCCGCTCGTGCTGTCTTCCGCACGCCGTATCCCATCCCGATCTTCGGAGACAGGCTTCTGTCTAGGGGGAGCACTGGGAAACTCTTGGCACTTGATGTTTCTTCAGCAGCATCCAATGAGAAAATTTGAGGCCGCGATCCACTAGCTCGTAGGCTCCTAACCGGTAAAGTCCTGTAGAGAGACATGTAGACCATCGTGTCTTTTGCTTCTTCCAAAAATTCGCGAGCAAATCGTGTCAAGTTTACCCTCTGACGCATAAGAAATTCAGTTTCTTGAACTTTGAATGCCCATCCTTGGATGATTTGATATGTTTCGTTCTCATAAGTCAGTCGACACGAACACACGACGTGACCCATGGCGCATTCTCCCCGATCAGTGGTGTACACATGCACGAGTTCAGAAATGGGTCCGGCACTGACTGACACGCTACCATGCCATTCCACACTCTTGAACTGCAAGTCTTCAAAACGCAAATCAAATGCCATTTGCGTGTTTTCTACTCTGCTCTGCCGAACCGGCAACCGCTCCATCTGCAGTCCAGCTCCCTGAGGAGCTAGGCGTAGGAGGTCCGGTTCTAATTCCACCCAAACATGTTCGGAACCGGCAAGCGAACGAAAGATCAAGTGTTGAATATCTCCCCAGCCCCGAAGAACGAATCTACCTGGGCGCAAGCCACCATTATGGTCGCTCCCAATCCGTACGGGAATTTCCCCTATTACTTTTCTTCCCGTCTTGTTTAGTCCTACTGCAGAGTTCCATCCTGCTCCAAGTGCCATATCAGAAAGGACAGAAAGGAATTTGTGGACCTCGGTATGGGTTTCCAATTGCCCTAATTGTCGTTTGATTTCTTCATTGTCACAGAGAGACCAGTTAAAGGGTACTGCCGCGACTATTTTCTCAATCATAGAACTTTCTGATGGCGTCCTCCTCTCGAATTCTATTCCTGTTTCCGTGGCCTTGACATGCACGCGGTCTACAAAGCTCATTGTCGGGAAACCGCCAATGAGACGTCCTTCACCTGGCGGACAATTTTTGTGTCCCGATTCGATGAGTGGCGCTTCGTGATCTATAGACGGATTTCTCAGTGACGAGCCATTCACCTCAAACACTTGACCAAACAGCCTAATACCACCACCTTTATTCGGATCTTCGTCTTCAGCGTGTAAATTCACAGATAGAACTTTCCCCTTTGCAGCCTCGAATATGCTTCCCAGATCAACCTCAGTGTCCAGTTCTACACCCTTTTCGAAGCTACCGAATTCTGCCATAATGGCTAGGCCAAGCAGGGTCACTGCTGCCCCCCAGAAGCATAGACGTATCCATGTTGCGTTTCGGTCTATTCCGGGTAGTTGGGTCAGCCTACCAGCCCGCGTCGGGCCCAGTGCCACCCGTCTTCCTTTTCGTGCCATGAAGCCATTAATCCTTGATGAAGCTTTTTGAAGCGCCACAGCAAGGAGCACATCGACAAGAATAGCCAAACCAATGAGTCGGGTCACGTTCCAAATTGGCGTGCTAAAGGGCAGTATGAATTCCAGGGACATGATGTGGAGGGAAGGAGGAAGGCTTGTCAACGAAGTTTGTTTTTTGCATAAGAAGAACGATACACGATAAACGCGTCCCTGTTTCTGGTTATGCAATGTAGGCGTCGTGTCCAAGACCCTTGGAGAAGTGGAGTTGTGAAAGAAGTCCTCTTTTCCGGTATTCCTCGACAGCGCTCGATATTGCTTGGCTAGGCTAGCACTTTTGAATGGGGTCAGTTTCCTGCGTTGGATCAGTACGCATAAAAGTACAGTGCGCGAAACTGTAATAAATACACCCATCGACAAGGATCAATCTGACAATTCGTGACCAGTCCATCCACAAACAGCCACGAATGCGGGTCTGACACGCGCCAATAATAACGCATATCAATCAAGAATATAGATACAGCGCACCACTGTCGAGATATCTTTAAAAACCCGAGCGCAATTGTTATAAATACGCGAAATATGATATGACACAAAACATAAAGGAGCATTTAATACTTTGTTGCACCACCCCGCGCATCCATGACAGCATGCATACGACGGGGTAGGCTCTTGTACAGCTTCAAAAGAAGGTCTGACCCCACTGTAGACCAAGCCTCTTCAATGGCATCCTTCAACTCTCTAACATTCTGATAATGTCTGCCTCTTGCGTACACCATTCTAGCCATGACTCCCCAGACATTTTCGATAATATTCATGTCTGGGGACTTAGGAGGCCACGGTAGAGTCTTTATAGAATGGCCAGAGAGCCAAGTTCTTGTAAAATTTGAAGTATGAATCGGGGCATTGTCCTGCTGGAACACCCAACCGTGCCCTTCCCCAAATACCTCTGAGCTAAATGGCAGGAAACCGTGGCGCAAAACCTCAACATACTTAGTAGAATCCTGTCTTCCATCCATAAAAACAATAGGAGAAACACCATATAAACTAATGGCACCCCACACCATAACCGAAAATCCCCCATTCTGTCGCTTAGAAAAAATTCGCTCTTTGGTGCGGAGATCATGCCAGTACGAGGCAAAACCATCAGGACCATCACCATTGAACTTTTTCTCATCGCTAAAGACCACAGTATTCCAAAACTCTTCACCCTTGCTTATGAATCTACGGCACCACTTGACCCTATTCTTTTTATGCTGAGGGGTCATCTGTGGTGCCGTGATCATTTTTCTATACTTGAGATATGGCACAGCGCTCAGTATTTGTTGAACGCGTCTGTGCCCAATTGGTAGTTTGAGCTCAGCCTGAATACCTCTCGCGCTTTCCTCTCCTTTTAAAGCCATCCTGATTATAGCCCTCTTCTGCGTCTCTGAGATCTTCTGATTTCCTTTCCAGTGTTTAGGATGTTTGTGTTTAAACCCCAGCCTAATTACACTCTGTACGGCTCCTACGGAGCGATTGACAGCTTCCGCAATGCTCCTGAATGAAATGCATTCCTTGTTGAGAGCCAAGATCTGGCCATGCTCAAGATCGGTTATTGCGGGGCCCCGAGGCATTTCTTCTTTGTTCTGGATAGTTGAGTTGTATTGATATGGTAAAGGAGCAGTTGCAGTTTACGTTGGGATGTTTTGAGGCTTATATAGCGCTTTGCGGTCCTCTTTTGGCGCCCTAAAGGTACTGTGCTTTATGGTATTTCGCGTATGTATGCCAGTTTCGCGCGACTTTGCGGAGCTAACTCCAAAACCGTGTCCACGTATAACTGTCGGGCTCTACAAATGTCTATTCCTTGATGTCCTGGTACTGTACGGGGGGCGATGCTTTAAAAGGGCAATCGGGGATGTTGTTTACGTGGTGGTCGATGGGTGTATTTATTGCAGTTTCGCGCACTGTACCCTCGACAATATTATCATGCAGAATACGGGATTAGTAGCTCCGAAGACACTGAGTCCCAGTTGTGTTGATGTGCAATACACGGTAGTGTTGAAGGTACCCTTGGGTACCAGGAAACAATTTGCACTTGCAAGACATTTGTACGGTACTGCCTTTTCGTGCGCATATTGTACTGTACTGGCATGCCTTTACAAGCTCTTTTGAGGCATCAGTGTCATGTGTCATGTGATATTTGACGGTCGCTTTTTCTACCTCACGTGTCTGTGATGTGAGTAGCATTGATGCGCCTCTCGTAGGAAAACCTTTTTACCTTTACGGGCCTGGGAGCTCCCTTGTTGAGACTATAAAGTGACTTTACAGTGATTCTCAAGACTTGATGTGCTTGTTGTCAACAACATGCAAGGATTCCTTTTATCTTTAGCTAAATGTTGCCAGTGTGGGGGCGACAAGGTGTTCTTTTCATAGAGAGGCGAATTCACGATTTCTTCAGTATTGGGAGGCCGGCTGCCGAAAATATGATCAAACCGTAGGGCAAAATGACGCTTTATCTCTTTTTGTGGCTGTCCTCCACCCCGCCCGCCGTCACCCTCCCGGACGCCCATTTCGCCACCGCACGCCCCCTACTTGCCGCGCAGCGGGCACTCCCAGCTCCACGCATCTCGCTGCCTCGCCGCCGCCACTTATGCCCTTCTGCCCTCCGCCATCGACGCCTTCCCCGTCCCCTCCGCTCCCACACCCACTGCCGTGGTTGCCGTGTCTGAACATATGACCTTTTATAATTTCCCCCGTAGGTGGAGATTATTAA